ATGGATGAAGCCTGGGTTTTCCTGGTGGGTTCTGGGGTTTCGTACCCAGCCTACAGGTTTGTCAGGCCTCCATCTTCTCACAAGCTAGCGGAGGACCGATGCTAAGAGGCTTTCCTATCCTGCACTACTAAATCAGACCCCAGGATGTCCCCACCATGGCTCAGTCACCTGCCCTTGGATAGCAAGGGCCCGAGATAAGGACCCTTTGGAAGTGGCTCCCGTGACACTAAGGAAAGTGGGGGCACTGGGAGCAGGCCTGGGCCACCCCTGTCCATCACTGCTCTTTCCGGCCATAGCAAGTATCATGCTGGGCCTCAGAAGGGGACTTGGACACAGCAGACAGAGGCCCCAAGCCTGACACTGTCAGGGACTTTACATGGGCTGCCTGGTCTTTGGAGTCATACGGGTCTCTTCAGGAAACACAACAGGCTGAGGCTGAGAGCTGTGATGACCCTGTGATGACCCTGCTGAGCCCAGGACCTGGGATCTGAGACTTGTGGAAAGGTCTCATGGGAAGGGTGAGTACTTTTAGCTACATGATTCCTCTTCTGCCCCACAACCCTGAGAGGGAGGCAGTCAGAGATCTTGGTCTTTGCCTGGGGGCAATAGTTGGCCTGTCCTGTCTAAGGTGATGCAGAGAATCCCTCACCCCAAGCCATGGTGTGAATATGACTGGTCACTTCCAAAGCTGACACTGGAGTGTAATCTCCATTGTGAGACAGAAGGCGTGTGGATTCCTTAATCTAAGGAAGGTGTCTACAGGCAGGGCCTGGGAGAGATACGGAGATTAGATGAGGTCCTTAGGGTGGGGCCCATGATTGAATCCCAGTGGCTGTATAAGAGGGAGAGGGATCAGACATGAACACACATCATGCACATGCATGTGTGTACACAAACACATGCGAACACTCACATGATGACTTCTGCCACCTGGAGACTCTGACATGAGGCCATGACAGGATTCAGCCCTGCACCCTGGAGTGAGGACTGGGAACTGAAATAAGCCTCTTTTCTTTATAACTTTTCCACCTGTAAAAGTGTGTCATTAGCCATGGGAAACAGACAGAGCCACCCTGTCAGAAGCTCTTTCTGAAGCCGGTGTAGTGGGGCATGCCTATATGGAGGCTGAGGTAAGAGGAGCATTGTGAGTTCAAGGCCAGCCTGAGCTGCATGGTGAGATCCCCACTCAAAACAAAAAAGTTATTTCCAAATGGCACAGCGGGTGACCCAAGAGCATGAGAATAACTCCACTTGTACTGTGCACTACTGCACTGGGGATTTCAGGCTCACTGTGACCACCAAAGCAGCCAACAGCAACGCCTCGGCACCCAACACGCCAGGCATGGTGCTAAGTACTGCCATGGGGACCTCATGCTAATCCCAAGGTCAGGACTAGAAGACCCCATTTTACAGGTGTGGAGACTGAAACGCAGAGGGGACACAGACCAACAACAAGGGGGCTTACCACGTGGCAGGCACTGTCCTAAACCTGTTGCCTATCTAAACTCATTTAATTCTCATAACGTCACCCTAGAAGATGTGGGAACTGTCGCCATCTCCACTTTATAGATGAGAAGATGGGTGGCCAGAATTCAATGTCTTGGACAGAGTTACCCAGCTGGTCAGTGACAAGCTGCCACAGATCCCAGTGCCTGGCTACCAGGGCCTGAGCTCTCCACCACTATACTACGTGGCCACCTTCAGTCACTTCCAGAGGTCATGAGGCTGGGGTCCAGTCCCTGCCTGGCAGGCAACCTTCCTCCCATTCCTCTCTGTTTCCCTACATGTGCCCCAATATGCTGTCAGGCCCCATCATCTTTCCCCTTCTGCCCATACCTCTCCCACCCGGTTTCTGGCACTGGATGAAACTTTATGATCCCAATGCTAGCACTAGCCCCTCCACAAAGCCTCCCTCCTCCGGCCACACGCCTGGGATTCACCTCAGTGCTCATCCCCAGCACTACACAGATCTTCCTGTCACTTGCCCTCATTTTTAGGCCATACCACCTACCCTACCAACCAAAGCCCACGAAGAGACAGCCCAACGTGATCCTAAGTCAGCCACAGTGACTGGCATCATGTCATGCAAACAGCAGATCTTGGCAAAAGCTGACACAGGTTGGCCACAGGCAGGAGGCCCACGGGTGCATGCAGGCCCACGAGAATGGCTCCTGGATCATCCTGCCCAGGGAGGACCCAGCCACCACCACAGACTGCATCAGACCTCAGCCTGCAAGGACTGCTTCCATGTCCTGGTCACTAAGCTAGAGTGATAGCTCCTCAGCTGTGTGACAAGGACAGAGAAGCTGGCAGTCCCAGAGGAGCTGCTCCCTCCTCCTTCTAGTTCCAACTGGGAAAAAAATGTCTTCTCTACTGCCTGAGATGCTTCTGATGGCAAAAGACCCAGGGACAGGAAGAGATAAAACCCTATGGGTGCCCGTGAGGGGCAGAGAGGGCTGCAGGTCTGCGGAGGGCACGGAGATAGGCAGGTGTGAGCGGTAGAACAAGCCAGCCAGCCACGTGGGACCCATCAAGCAACAGAAAAAAGCAAGTGCTAACCAAAACCAGAGCCCACAGGTCCCATCTGGCAGGATCCTCTGCTCTTCCTGGGACAGTGCCCTGCAGGTGTGGCTTCCAGGAGCACTGCTCCAAGGAGGACAGTCAGGCACAGCACTTGGGTTTACCAACTCTGACCCTACTCTAACCGGGCCTGGTCCAGGGGGCTGCGGCAAGGGCCAGGAAGAGAGGTGTGGAGGCCACACGGGCCTGCATGGCAAAGAGGCACCACAATGGGCCTGGGCTGGCTGGGAGGTCAGAACCCTGGAGGAGCCTCAGCTGGCTCTGCGCTGGGTGAAGTGGCCTAACATCGCAGCACCTTGCTTCCCTCCCCTGTCAAGTGGGAAAGCATAGACTCTAGAAAACTGTACCACGACGAGCCCAAGCACGCTGGCAACCCTGGGCCAGAGGAGTGGACCCAGCCTGCACTGTGAAGGTCACCTTGGGAAACTATCATAAGAAGCCAATCCTAAGGAGGGGAAATAATCTGCATGCATATGGATGTTCATCTCAGTTTATGCTAGAAGAAAATCAGAAGCACCCAGTGAGCTGGGAGCAGGAAAGTGGTGACATGAACTAAGGTTTGTCTGGTCAATGGAACCATTCAGAACACTTTCAAAGGCTGTAATTATATAGGAAATGGTGATGTGTGGCATGAGCTGGAAAACCACCTGCAGCTTGGCTTGTGTCATTTCGCTATTCTGAATTGGATGAAAGTTCAATTTCACATTTGATGTATCAAAAGTCTCTCTGAGTGATCTAAGCACAAGGTATAACTCTTGCTTTGCCTAAATTTATAAAAGGCTACATGTTGGGAAAACATGAGAAGAAGATAATCAAGGAATTAACAGTAATGATGCTTATATGGTAGTAAGTGATGGCTTTTTTCCCATTTAACGTTGTTCTCAAATACTTCAAGAACAGATATTTCTTTCAAAATAGAAAAAGAAGTAGACAAGATTGGGGATGTGGCTCGGAGAGAGTGCACATGCCCTAGGTTAGATTCCCTGCGGCTGAAAAAGGAAAAAAAAAAAAAAAAAAGGAGTGAAATATATTTTTAAAGTAGCTGGGGTACAGAAGGGAAGGAGAAAGCGGATAAACACAGAAGAAGAACCTGCATTTCTGCAGTCCCAGACAGGACCCCCAAATCCCAACTCCCCGGCCTGGCTGAGCCCACCTTCTGGGAGGGCCGGGGGCTTAGGCCCCACACACCCCACCTTCGCTCTCCAGCAGGAGGAGAAGCCTGGGAAGACAGGAAAATAACTGAAATAGAAAGAATGTAGTCAGCAACTAAACAAAACCATCAACCAAAGCACAAAACACTTTCTATGATTAAAAAAAAAAAAGAATACATAAAAGGCAGCAATAAAGAACCAAGTCAGTGCTAATGATGTCTGAAAACAGTGTGTCCTTTGGAAAATCCCCCGCATTCCATTCCAAAGGACTGGCCCCAAGGGACCTGGGTGTACGGACAAGGGTGGCACTGCCAGGTTTCCTCACAGAACAGCCCTGAGGCCACAGGAACCCATGCTGCCCAGCTCGCTTCCTGGCTGTGGAGTGTTACCACCTCCTCCTCCTAACTCCTGAGTGCCCGGTGGACCCTGGCTCCTCCTCCGCTTCTGGTCTGCTGGGCAAGAGCAGCGGGCCTCTACCAAACGGGCTGGCTGTTCCCGGGTTATCGAGCCCGGTTGGGAAGCTGTCCAGAAAGCAGCCAGCCACAATCCTCATAACAGCTGCCCCAGGCCGCAGCGCGCCCTCCTCACCCCTCAGGCCTCAGGCCAGAAGCTGAGTGATGACCAGGGCAACAGAACTAATCAAGGGCCACTGGGAGGAGAATCCACCCCACAAAGGTGACCCCTTGACAGATTCCCATCAAGGGTGACTGCTACTGCCGGCAGCCCCCACAAGCTGCAGCCATCACAGACCCGATGACTGTGCCGCTTCCTTCCTAGAGGGACAGAGGCCAACAGATCCTTTTAAACACACATTAGCGTTTCAAAGCCAGCGCTGCCAGGTCTATGATTTGTGTTTCTCATGTCCAGATTTGAGCTTTTAAAATCAGACAAGTATAGATTCAAACCACAGAGAACATCTTTGGACGACAATCATCGGCCCAGCCTGTTGTTTTACACATGAGCAAACTAAGTCCAGGGAAAAGGGGGAGGGAGGAAGAGGGGAGGGAGGAATGCTTCATGTGAGGGGCAGGGGCAGAGCTGCAGCCAGGTCCTCTGTGCCTAGGCACACCACACCGCCCAATTGGCACTATGTCCTTGTAACTGGGCCCCAAGAAGTCACACACCCAGGGCCTGCCTGTGACTCCTAGCACAGGAGCCTTGTGGCCATCGGTCCTGTGTCTCAGCCCAGCTCCTCCTCCGAGCAGGGCATGAGCAGGGAAATACACACAGTCAGACACCAGGGGCCGCTGGTGCTGGCACCCACATTACCTTTGGGCATGATCTGATGCATGGCGACAGAGAGGAAGAAGATGGAGTCGCTGTAGTAGGTCCCTGAGCCAGCACTGAAGTGCTTCTGCATGGCCTCCACGACAGGGAAGAGCTTGTCGGTCAGCACAGCCACATCATGGAAAATGACCTGTAGCAGGAGCAGGAAAACCCAGCCGTCAGCCAATCGGACCTTACCTGGGGCTGCGGACACCCAACACACACCTGCACCAGGAGGCAGAAGCAGAAAGGGCCCCTCCAGGGACTGAGGGTGCGGGGGTGGGGGGGGACAGATAGGCGAGAGCAAGGAAAGGGGTAACAATTAGGGACAGAGTAAGGGCAGCACAAGGACAGGGACATGGAGGGTGGGGGTAAGTAGGGCAAGAGAAGTGAGAAGGATCGGATGGGGAGAGCGTTCTGCTTTTGAACCTCAAACCAATCCACCCTGTGTGTCCAGGGACAGAAAGCCAGGGGAAGGCTGATATCAGCTCCTGGATCCTCAGCATGGCTGGGTGCCAATGCAATTCCAGGTATTGTCACCTCCTACCTGTGTGCTATTGGCCCATCAGATGCTCCAGCTGCAGCTCCCTTGTCCAGGACTATGAACAAAGAGAGGACCTGGCCACTAGGAACTGCTGAGTGCTGAGGGAAACTCGACAGCTCAAGCAGTGATCCTACGATGTTCCCTGACACTCCAGAAGTGCTGAGAGGGACAAGAAACAACCAGCTCCCGCCTTCCTCAAGGCACTCAGGAGCCCAGGGCACCGCCAGCTTTGCAGAGATGAGACGCTCTCACATATGCACTCTGATCCTCAGGACAACCTCTGCTCCAGGGAGGCAGGCACACTGGCCCGGCCTCCAAGTGCCAAGTAAGAGAGGAGATGCCCTGAATGATCCAGCTGCCAAAGTCACACAGCTAACAAGGACACGGTCAGGACTGGATCCTGGTCCCTGGGTTCCTTCCACTATAAATGCCTCTTCTCCTCCACAGTGACTAGCAAGGGAGAGGTGGTGGCGGCAGCAGCAATTTCTAAGACAGGAGTACCGATAGGACCCTGGGTTGGTCTTCCTGTCAGGCAAGGTTCCAAAAGCTCAGGAGTTCATCCCGTGTCAGCTTTAGCCTCAGACGACACCGCATGACCCAACCCCCTCCTTCGGTCTCTCGAGGGTTTTCCATGGGGCCCACAGCACCAAGATCAGTCCACTACGCAGATGGGTACCCAAACAGAAGCCTGGGTGTTTCCCCTCCTTGGAGATCTGCTGGTGGCTTCCTTCCACCACCCACTTCCTTAGCAGCAGACAGGACAGGACAGGCCACCAAATGCCACAGGCTGCCCCATTGTCACTGCACCAAAGTGCAGCCCAAGACCAGCCATGGCCATAAACTGACCCATCTGCTTCTATCTGGGGTTCTGCCTTTGACCTACCTCTTATATCTCATATAAGCTCGTATAGCTCATATCTCTTATATATCTTATTTCTCATTTACTTCCCTTTAACCTGGAGTTCACATGCTTGTTTTTATCTCGAGTTCTTAAATTTCCAGAACACTATTCAACTCAGAAATCCCGCGTTGTTTCTCCTCATGCACTAAAACTTGCTTTATGTTAACTCTTTCAAAAAGCCGTTAGATTGTTTCTTGACATTTCTAGACACTGCTTTCCTTCATCCCTTTTCTGGCTGCTTCGTGTCTCTGACTGTGGCTTTCTCTTCTCTCGGCCTGGGATACGGAGTCCAGTCTCACTATTCTGCAATGCAAATCTCAAGTTCTGCCTCTCACCTCCTGCCGCCCTCTCGTGGCTGCCTCTCACTCTTGTGACTTCCCTGGCAGCTTCTCCTTGTCTCTCCCAACAGCCCCTGGTGCCCTTCTATGGTTGTTTTCCAAATACACAGTTTCTGTCTTTCTCCTTGGCTTAAAACATGGCTTCTCACTGCCCTTGCTGAGAGTCCAAATTCCCCAGCAAGGCTTAGGGTCATCTGCAGTAGGGCTCTGCCTCACCTCCCCTGGACAGAAATGAACGAGGCATCCCCTTACTGGCCACCCGTCTGTGTCCTCTGTCCTTGCCCCTCCTGTCTCTGGACTCCCTCATCCAGCTCTCATCTGCCTGGTAAACTCCTATCCAGTCTTCCAGCCTTCCCACTCAGCCCTACCGCACCCTTCGTACCCACCAGCCTCCTCCGGTACCCCATTTCACATAGGGCTGCACTGACCCAGGCCTCACCCTCAGGTCTATCTTCATACCTGCAAGACGGGGTACTCCTGAGACCAGAGACCAGGACGGCTCCGCAGCCCGCGTCTGACCTCACACAGGCCAGCTCATGCACGGGCGTCCGTGAGACTGAAGGAACTGCCCCTTGGGCCGGTCTCTGAGCCTCTCTGAACCTCCATCTCTTCCTGGGTAAAACATGAATGGCAATGCCAACCGCGACAGTGGCCGTTGGGTTTTGTCAGGGGTTGCCAAGCTGCTCTTGTTCCTCAGCCTGAGCATCCGGCCCTGCCCCCTCTGGTCCCCTGAACCTCCTCTGCTCCCAGATCAGCCGTCACTCATGGGCCAGTTTTTTCCACAGCGCCTTATTACACCTCCTGGCCATCACTTGGAGCCAGAATGAGAAAAGAAGCTGGGAGCTGACAAGAGGCTCTCAAAGCAGTGGAGCCTCTGTGTTCATCAGAAAGTGGGGGAAGGACAGGCGTGTGCCCACGCGCACACACACAGCGGCGCCTGCCACACTGCAGCCAAAGCAGGGAAGTAAAGAGGTAGCGGCAGCCAGTCTGCTCCCCCGCTGGCCCCAGATCACCCCAAAGCTTGCAACCCATCAGGATTAATAGATTTCTGAGGACAAACTGTACTCAGCACATTTGTTCCAAGAGCTGTACTGTGAAGCCTGCGCCCATGAATATTTCATGTAATAAATCTTCTTAAAGATAAATTAATATGTTCCATGGAAAACACTCATGCAGCAGGAAGCAAATCAGAGACACTTGCCAGTGTGAATCCAAATGCCCAGTCCTCCCAAAGACAGAAACTGCTTGGCCTACTGTGACCTGCCTGGGTCAGCACCCCAGTCTAGCACACTCTGGAGTGCCCAGCCTAGCCGGGACCTGGTGCCTGTCTTGAGCACAAAGCAGGAGTGAAAACAGAAAGAGGTAACAGAGGGAGGAAGCAGGCAGCCCCTCTCCCCTCCCCTCTCCCTTCCCTCTCCCCTCCCCTCTCCCTTCCCCTTTCCCTTCCCCTCTCCCTCCCTCGCCCGGGCCTCAGGAGCTGCAGGGAGAGTTACTACACAAACCAGGAAGCCAGACTGGCACCCGCAGAGGCAAATGACAGGACCCACAGCAATGCTCCGTGCCATCTGGAACACATGATTCTTAGGGACGGATGCAGACCAAACGTGCAGTTGCTATTTGCAATCTTTATTAACTTGCTGCTATGTACACATTAAAACTTAAGGGTCCTATTAATTATAAAGCGCTGGATATCTCATAACCAGCCCACAAAATAATCACTTTCTGAAACCCTTTATGTGCATCAGCAATGCCACTCATTATCACCCTGCCTTGGGCTGGGTCACCAGGGTGCTGCCGTGAAGGATGCAGCTCCCAGCACACTCTGGGGGTACTGGTACTAGAACGGTCACCCCACCCTATGGCATCACCTGTGTTCACGTGGTCAAGGCAACTGGGTTTTTCATCAGCCTGTGATCATTTATCCGTAGCCACCTGCTACTCTTCCTTTTATTAGCAACCTTTAAAAAGTTTGTTTTTAACAACATTTCACACTTATAGTCCTGAGGTCAGCCACCCACTAGGAATAATGGCTAAATCTGTGTTCTATTTCTTTGTCTCCTTTTATTTTTAATTAGTTCTGTCAAGGGGTTTTGGGAAGCATCTAAACTCACTAATGGCTAAGGTGTCTCAAACAGTACTTTATTGTCCAAAATAAAGTATGCAATAGAGAAGGCACCCATGTAACATCAGGACTTTAGAAAGACTCGACCCAACCGACAAAGACGGAGGGAGACAGGGAGAGGGGAATCTCACGTGTACTCCACCCTACACAGCAACTCTCGACACTTTCAACACTGGGGCAGAGCGAGCAGCCATGGCAGAGCTTCATGCCAGGCAGGAAGAAGGTACCTCTGCCAGCCAGGCCACAGCTCCTGGGTACAGTCACCGAGGCCTAGAGCTTCAGGGGGGAAACTCGTTTATCTCTGGGTAAGCCCCACTGGGACTCAGGGCTCAGCAACGTGCCTGGAGCCAGGAGGGCAGCAGTGAGGACTGACATTCAACACGGGAAGACCCCAGGCTCCCAGGAAAGCCTGAGACTAGCAGCAGTGCCCAGCTGGCTGGAGGCCAGGCGGGCAGGAGATTGTCACAGAAGAGCTGCAGGAGGGGACGGTGACAGAACAAAGCCCAGGGAAAGCTACCCAGACACACCCAGCTGAGTGTCAGACCCATCTCCTACAGGAACAGCAAACAGGTCGCGGCTTGTCCGGAGGGGCTGCCAGAGCACTGGTGGGGCTGGGGTTCTGTGACAACATCTGCACTCTGCCAGGAAGCTGCATGGGCAACACAAATGCCCAGTGTGAGTGGCAAGCACACTCCAGTTACATCCTGCATGGGGGGCACCTGACAACGGTGGAGTTGGGGACACCAGAGACTTCAGGGGCAGAGTGGCCCATTACAAAAAGCACAATCCTAGGTTCCTTGTTAAGATACCACCTAGATGTCCAGCAAACTGAGTGGTGACACACGCCCATGCCATAGCTCATCTACAAAACAGGAAAGAGGTCTGGGGATGTAGCTCAGTGGTGGAGCACTTGCCTAGCATGCTGAGGCCCTGGGTTTGATTTCCTGCACCACTGAGGGGGAATGAAAGGGAAAGAGCCATGGTGACTGCCTTATGAGCTTTCATGAGAAATGCAGCTCGACAGAGGACAGTGGACCATTACAGTCAGACTGCCTCTCCCGCACAAGGGTACCTGCAAGGTCTGAGCAAAACACGCAGTGAATGACTAATTTAAAAACAGTATGACAGACAGCAAAAGATGCGCTGCCACGCAGCCACCTCGAATCACTTCTGCTGGCCTTGAACACACTTATCCTGTCACTCCTGCCACTTTCTGACGTGGTTCTGAAGTCCTCTCTCATGTGAG